CCCGTAGAGCAGCTGGTAGTTTCGAACTGCTGACCTTAAGGTTCACAGCCCTATTCGTAACCACTACGCTACCAGAGCTCATTCTCTGGTAGCGTAGTAGTTATGAATTAGGCTGCTAATCTCATGGTCAGCAGTTCGAAACTACCAGCTGTTCTGTGGGAGAAAGATGAGGCTTTCTGCTTCTGTAAAGATTGACAGCCCTGGAAACCGTGTACAGGGTCGCTATGAGTCAGAATCCACTCCACGGCACATCACAACAACAATCTTTATGGAAGAATACTGGTGTGGTGTTGTGGGTTAATGCGCAGGACTGCAAGGTCGGTTTGAATCACAAAGTCAGCGGTTCAAGCTCACCAGCCACTCCCTGGAAACCCTACACAGAGTCACTATGAATCAGAACCAATTCAATGGCACTTAACAACAGCAACAATCTTTATGGAAGGAGCCCTGGCGTGGTGCTGTAGGACAAGCGCTGGACTGCTAACCAAAAATTTAGTAATTCAAAGCCACCAGCTTCTCTGAGGGTGAAAGATGAGACTTTCAGCTCCCATAAAGAGTTACAGCCTTCAAAACTCTATACAGGGTTATATATTGGGCTGCGTATCTTTTTATCCCCTTGGTCTTAGAGTAAACTTCCTTTTACAGCTAAACTGCAAAAGTTTTCAATGTAGATTTTCAACAAATGTAGTATACACCCCTAACATAAGCACAAGATTCACTGAAATTATTACGGAAAGAGAAAATTACCAAACACATTCAACTAAGGTCAAAGAACCCCACTTGTGTTTTCAAGTTGATTTGGACTACAGTGTTTGACTGATCAAGGAGCTCTGCTGGCACTGTGGTTAAGCACTTGGGTTAACCACTGAAAGATCATGGGTTGGAATCCACCAGCCGCTCTGCAGGAGAAACATGAGGCAGTGTGTTTTTATGAAGATTTACTGCCTTGGAAACACTATGGAGCAGTTTCATTCTGTCCTATAGCGTCATTAGGAGATGGAATGGACTCAACAGCAGTGAGTTAGGTTTGGAATTCTACATGGTGGCTGATAACCAGGCTTCTTCTATAGAGTAGCTGGTGGGTTTGAATCATCCACCTTCTGCTTAGCAGTAGAATACTGAACCACTGCACTGCAAGGGCTCCTTCAAAGGTCTATGTTGTTGTTTTTGTTAAGTGCTGTTGGGTCAGTTTCAACTCATAGAAAACCTGTATAGGGTTTCTGAGGAGTGGTTGTTGAGTTTGAACCACCAACCTTGTGGTTCAAACGGATCTTGCAGGCAAGTGTTTATTCTATAGCATCACACCAGGATACAAACAGGAATTTCTGTTAAGAAGCAAAACTATGTGTTTTGTGTGCTGCTCTGATGCCATTGGTCTTTCAAATAGCAGTAGGGTTTCAAATAGTAGTGAAGCTCCAGACTAGAACAGAGCAGGAATAAAGTCCTGATGGTTTACTTAAAAAAAATTAGATAGTGAACATCTTCTGGATCACAACAGAATATTATACAAGATGGTGCAGGAAGACAGGCTTCCTAGGTTGGAAGTCACTCAAACACATCAGGGACCCAACAGTGGACTGAAGCACAGCCCAGTCAATAGGCTAGTGCAGTGCAGACACCATTTCATTGTGCAGCACAGGGGGCCATCAGGAGTCACAACTGGCTCATTGGCAACTAACAATAGCTAGATTTATTCCATCTCCTTGAGGAATTAGATTTGTATATTCAAGAAACTATGCTGCTTTTGCAATTCCATTGCAAATAAATTTGTTCTATCAGAGGTAGTCTATCTATTTGACCTGTAAGATTGGCAGTTCATGTCACCAGCTATTCCATGGAGACCCTAAACAAGGTTGATATGGATTGGAACCTACCTCACGGCACTTAACAACAACAACATGCAAAAAATACAAATTAAAATACGTTTACATTCCTTCTTTTAATTTCCTAGAGACTCCATAGTTCTGGAGTATTGTGATGGGAAGCAAGGTGAGATACTGATTTCTTTGTCTGGTTATGAATGTGTCATCTATGGATTTTTCTCATCACAATTTATAGTACTTCAAATGCATGTTTAAAGCATAAAGTTTTTAATAAGACATACTCTTTCATTTTTCCTATCACCATGTAAACCTCTTGAATCATCTTATGTATGCTATTTAAAATGCATTAATATCTATTTTTAATTGATCAAAAATTCATACAATTTCTGTCAAAACATAAAAGCTTGCCCATTTGCACCAAAAAAAAATTTAAGAAATCAAGACCATTTCTGTCAAAACACAAAAGTTTGCCCATTTGCATAAAAAAATTAAGAAATCACGACCAATTATAACCTTGACATCATTGACCTCTAATTATTTGTGTTAAAGAAACTGACATCCTGAGGATAGTAACTTAAAATTAGTGTGTAGTTCTGAGTGTCGTGGTGTGTGTACATATATAATTCACAGGGGCGAAAAGAGGTGGTTTAAGAGAAAGAAAAGAAATAATTTCAAAATTCTCTAGTCATAAATCATTTCATACTTTAAAAATAGCTAGGAAGGGGCACATTTGTCTTTTCAGAAAACTGTACAGAACAGAAATTGAAAACAATGGTTCACTTTTTTTCTAAGTCTAAATTTCAGTGACTCCTTTCTAAGAAAGCAAGATTTTACAATATTTGTTACTTAGAAAACACTGTGCTAAAGTATGACTGACTACTGGTTGCTTGGGTGTATTCTATAGACCACATTGGGGAAAGTGGGGGAGGAGCAGGCTTCTTCATTTCTCTTCTTTAGATTCTATAAATTTTGCAGTATAATAACTGTGTTTCTCTACATCTTAGTTCTTGCTGTCTTCACTACTATGAGCCTATTTCCAATTTCTTTTGCTAATGTGGAATCCAGCAGCTCTTTGTTCTCATTGTGTCTGTCCTCTCCCTTTCTTTGTGTTGCAGAGATACTGCTACCCGCATCTGCCACTGAGCATGCGGGAAAAATCCTTCAATAGATCCTCTACTTAGGATTTTCGGTAGTAACATTCCACTTCTCCAGGTTTTAGTAACAACCAGAATATGGAGAGGTTAGTACAAAACTTGGAAGGTGATGGGGTGATACAGGTGGTTAGCTGGTAGACTAGCAAGCTAGAGCACCAGGTAGGAAGAGTTCAGGGCAATTGTCACGGATATTTATCTGATTTTTCATATCATCATGTAAACCTCTAGAATCATCTTATGTATGTTGTTTAAACCGCTCTCACCAAACACAGAACACCCACCTTACACAAAGAAACTACAGATACTGATTGGCAATTTAGAAAACACAGTGTTTTTGAGCAGGAAGACACAACCATATCTAAAACAAGTAGGCACAGTGTGCTAGATGTTCCAGATGGATGAAGTATATTTGTTGTTGTTGTTGTTAAGTGCCGTCGAGTCGGTTCCGACCCATAGCGACCCTGTACAGGGTTTCTGAGGGTGTAAATCTTTACGGGAGTAGAAAGC